GTGCCTAAAAAATAGCATGGGAACCCACAAAAATTAAGTTAAAACTTTAGCCAATATGAAATCAAAACCTTGCTGTGCAGAGGGGTCTGACAATGGAATATACTCACTGCCATTCCTGCCCAAGGAAAGAGGCTAGCCTGCAAAATAGCTACAAAAGTATAATCTCAATAGTAGAAACAGCAGAATCAAGTGTCCAGAATTTGTATTCCTTGGGGCCATTTTTTTAAAATAAGCTTTTTATTTAGAGTACTTTTATATTTATAGAAATTTGTAAAATAATAAACTCCTTACTTAACTCCTCTAATGTTAACATCTTATATAATTATGACACATTTTGTTGTTGCTGTTGTTTTTTGTTGTTGTTGTTTTGACACTGGGGATTAAACTCAGGACCTTGCACTTTCAAGGCAGGTGCGGTGCCACTGAGCTAAATCCCCAGCCCAGTTACGATACTTTGTAAAGCTAAGAGATTAATATTGGCATATTTATGAACTAAACTATAGATATTATTCAGATTTTACCAGTTTCTCCATTATCTCCTAAGATTGGACCCTTTCTTCCACTTCTCCCATGATACTGGGGATTGAACTGACGACCTTAACACTGAGCTACATCCCCTAAAATTTTTTTTTATTTTTTATTTTTTATATTGAAACAGCACCAAGGGGGTCTAGCTAAATCATTAAGTTGCTTGGGCTGGTCTCCAACTTGCAATCCTCCTGCCTCAGCCTCCCACAATGCTGGGATTACAGGCATGCACCACCTCACACAGCTAGCTTGGACCTTTAAAAGAAGTTTTCAGTGAGGAATAAAAGGACAAAATAAGCCATGCAGAGAAAGAACACTAGGTTCTAGACCCAACTCTGTCACGTGCTAACTATGGCATCTTCGTTTATTTTTAGCTCTAAAAGTGCTTTCTCACAAATACCAATTGTACACACACTTTCATCCATACAGAACTTCTTTTCCTTTCCCCCTTCACTCTCCATTCTAGTCCCGTTCCATTCCTTCCCATAGACCCAATTCTAGTGAGTTCAAGTGTAAGATTCTCCTTAAAAAATCATGTTCCCACCTGGGTACATGACTCAGTGTTAGAAAGCTTGCCTAGCATAAGTGAGGCCGAGGGTTCGACCCACAGCACCCAAAAAAAGTCATTTTGTGAGGTTTTTTGGGTTTTGTTTGTGATATTAAACCATCTCATTGAGCTACACCCTCAACTCTTAATTTTTGAGACATGGTCTTGCTAAGAGGTCTCTGAGTTGGCCAGGCTGAGCTCAACTTGCCACCCTCCTGCCTCACTCTGCCATTGCTGATTACAGAGATGTGTGCCATCAGGACCAACTTTATTTAATCTATTTAGCTGATTTTTGCTGTATTTTCTTCATCTGTAGTCTGTTATGTCACTAAGTTCCTAATAGCTTGTATCCGACTTTTTAAAACAATATCCCATGATATGCATACATTTTTGTTATCATTCCCTTAGTGATGGATATCTGAGTTGTTGCTAGCTTCCTCTACAGAAACTGTACATAGATAAATATCCTTATATGTTACTTAAGAACTTGTACAAGTTTCTCAGGAGGTCAGAGTCAGAAATGGAACTGCTTTGATATATTTTAGTTATATACTGCTGTATAACATATTATCCTACCCTAAACGCAAATTATCTAACAGCTGTATCAGCTTAAAACAATTAACTCAAGAATGAGAAAAAATACTTGCAAATCATATACCTGATAAGACTTGTCCCTATAAAGTTTTGTTTTGTATATATCTGCCCCAAAAATGTATACATCAGGAATAGAAAAAATTTGTATAAATATTTTAATACTAAATTTATTGAGACATCATGATATTGATATGTTACCGTTGGCCTCTACAATTATAAGAGGTACTCAAAGTGGTAGGCATCAGCTTCCAGACATTTTATTAGTAAGACAAACTACAGAAGTATGTATACATTTTTTTGGTAGTCTCTCTCCATATATATATATATATACATATATATATATATACACACACACACACACACACACTTATGTATATGTATAAATATGTGTATGTATATATACTATATATATGTGTGTATGTTAGCTTTTCATCGTCATGACAAACATACCTGTGAAAGTCAACTTAGAGGAGGAAAGATTTATTTGGGCTCAGGTTCAGAGGCTTCAGTGCACACTGGCTGGTTCCAGTGTTCCTGGGCCTGAGGTGAGGTAGCGCATCATGGCAGAAGGGTATGGAGAAGCAAAACTGCTCACCTTATGGCAGCCAGAAGCAGAGAAGCCAGAGCACACTTGTGCTTAAGTGTGCTTCCTCCTTCCACTTTTGTCCCATCTAGGCTTCCAGCCTATTGGACAGTGCTGCCTATATTCAGGACAAGTGACCCCTAGAGTCTGCTGTCCCATGTGCCAGTTGTCTCTAGAAATACTCCCAAGACATATTTAGAAGGGTACCTCAATAATTTCCTGGCTCTATCTCAATCCAATCAAGTTGACAACCAAGATTAACCATCACAATGTGTATATATAATTGGGTTGTCACATATATGAAAATGGACAAATGATTTGAATAAACAATACATAAAAATGCTCAACACATCCTTAACCACCAGGGAAATGGAAATCAAATCCACAATAAGATATACAATCACATCCACTAGGACAGTGATAATCAAAAAGATGGATAATAACAAGTACTGGCAAAGATGTAGAGAAATTGAAACTATCAACATCTTTGAAATAGTTGGGCAATTCTTCAAAAAGTTAAACATGGAGGGCTGGGGATTTAGCTCAGTGGTTCCGCCGCCTGCCACACAAGCACAAGGTCCTGAGTTCGATCCCTGGTACCAGAAAAAAAAAAAAAAGTTAAACATGGAGTTACATATGACTTTTTTTGGTGCCAGGGATCAAACTCAGATCCTTCCGCTTTCGCAGCAGGCAGTGAAACCACTGAGCTAAATCCCAGGCTCCTGACTCAACATTTCTATTCCTGGGTATGTATATTGCAAGAAAAATGAAAGCATACATCCAAAAACTTGTACATGAAGTGTTTATAGTAGCATCAGTCATAATAACCAAAAAGTGGAAGCAATTTACATGTCCATCAAATTATGTATGGATAAATAAAATGTGTATATCCACATAAGGGACTATCATTCAGCCATAAAAAGAAATGAAAGATACATGTTACAACATGGATGAAACTTGAAAACATTATACAAAGAAGTCAGACATAAAAGGCCACATATTTTATCAGTTTCATTAACATATTATATGAAAATTCAGAACAGATAAATCTACAGACAGACTAGTAGTTGTCCAGGGATGGGGGAGTTGGAGATTTACTGCTAATGGCTGCACTTACTTGTATTCACAAGGCAATAAAAATATTTTAAAATTAATCAGGGTAATAAAGGATGAAGAGAAGAAAACAAGGCAACAGATCTCTTGCAAATGGGAAGGGGTCCAGGAGACTGAGGGCAAGGGAAGAGGGAGTAAGTAGAACTAAGATATACCATGTAGAGAAACCTAATAATCTCCATGAATGTAAACATAATACATCATAAATATGAGCTAAGGCCGGGGATTTAGCTCATTGGTTCCACCACCTGCTTCACAAGTGCAAGATCCCGAGTTCGATCGCTGGTGTAAAAAAAAACAAAACCATGAGCTAAGAACTATAAGAACAAGAATGAAAATGAGGAAAGGCAGAGGGAGTGAGGGAGGTGGGAAGTGTACAAAAAAAGAAACAAGCTGTGTTATGTATCTGTAACTACTTCCCAAGATGAATGTAAACATTATGTACTGCAAACATGTACTAATAAAAGAAAAAAAATTGTGGTGATAGCTGCACAACTCTGTGATATACTATAACACACTGAACTGTACACTTAAAGGAATGAATTGGATGGTGTATAATTGTATCTCAATGATGCTGTTTTTAAAAAAATACTAAACATCTATTACCTCACAGTTTTTCTGAGTCAAATTGGAATCAGGTGTTTCTGGCTCAGGATCTCTCAGCAGGATGTGGTCAAGGTGTTGATCGGGGCCGCAGACAAGTGAAGGACTGAACAGAGCTGAAGGAACCTTCTAAGGTGACTCATTCATGTTGGCTACTGGGCACTGGCTGTGGGGCTCCCTAGGGCTGCTTGTTATCCTCAGAAGAGGCTGGATTCCTCCAGAACAAATGCTCAGGAAAGTACAAGGCAGACACTTCAGTGTCTTCCATGACCTAGCTTCAGAAGCCACACGGTCCTAGTACATCTCACTGGTTACACAGGCCAGCTCTATTCATCATGGGAGAGGACTACACAAGACCTCAAATACCAGAGGGCAGAGATTAGACCATTTTGGAAGCTGGCTACCATACTTCATGACAGTGACAATATCAATAGGTAAGTATATGTGCTACTGAAGCGAGCACAGTATCAGTAGCTAAGAATTTCGTGACATTTACTATGTGTCAGGTACTGTTCTAAGCTTACAATGAACCTACGGGATCATTCTCTTTTACAGATGAAGAAACTAAGGCACAGAGGAGTTAGGAAGCTTACCAAAGGTCACACAGCTAGCAAATGACATACTCATAGCTAAGATTCAATATCAGGCAGTAGCTTGATAGTCCACTCTTAAAAATTGCTTCCCAAATAAGCCTTAATTTCTGTAAGTAATGTCCATTTGCACTCCAAAATAGACAAACCAGTAGAAATTTCCCATGAGGTTCATTCTTCATGAGAGTTCACTTACTTATCTCTCCCAAACTAATAGCTCTAAAATAGAAACTCAGTGTTTTAATTTGCATTTAGTCAATTACTAGTGAGGTATTATACTTACTAGCCTCTGGATTTCTCTTTTGATTTTACTTATGATATTCTTTGTATATTTTAATTTTATGTTATCTTTTTCTTTCTGATTTACAAGAGTTCTTTCTATATTCATTCCCTTATATAGGAATCTCCAGTCAGTTTTAGACATTGCAAATAATTTCTTCTATTTTTTATCTGTGACTATAAACTGCTTTAATTATGAAATAGTCAAAGCAATCAGATCCATGAATTGTGAAGAAATCCATCGTCACCCTAAGATCACAAACATGTTCACCATTTGTTCTTACTGGCTTTTATTTTTGTTCTTGCTAGGATCAAATCCAGGGCCTCATACAAGGTAGGCATATGTTCTATCACTGAGCTACAGCCCCAGCCCCCTACTAGTTTGATTAAATTATATTTCATTTAGGTCCTTAATTGCTTTAGGGTTTCTTTGTTTTTGTTTTAAGGTATAAGGCAGGGATCCAGCTTTATTTTTGTCCATATACTAAGCTAATTTTTTGAGCACCACTATACATCTCTTTTCCACTTAACTGTGACACTATCTTTATCATATACCATCTCTCCAATATTCCTGAATCTAGTTTAGTACTAATTCTTGTTTTCTCAGAAGAAAGATCACTGAGAAAGTTTTTATTCATTACCAATTAGATTAATGAAAAATCTAATCACTCATTGCTCACAAGATCCCCAAGGATTCAATATTAGCTGGAATCTTCCCCAAATACAACATCCAGTTAGGAAATGATTTTAAAAAAATAAATGTATATTTATTAAAAACAGAAAAAGAAAAACCTTGGCCAAATAAACCCTGGAATACAGAAATCACCACTTCCTGCAGAAGCCAGGTACAGTATTGGCATACCTCAGAAATTCAGGTGCCTCAGTCCATAGATCAGGTCTCAAGTATTCCTCTATAGTCAAAATTGGCATTCAACAAGTTGCTGGTCTGTGAGGGCCCTGATCACTATTAGCACAGGCAAAGGATACAGCTGGATGCCTGGCTATCTCATGCCACCACCCCAACCCACAGGCACTGGCAGAGCCTCAGAAAAGCTACATGTCCTCAACACTCCACTTGTAGGCAAGTTCCTCCACTGCCTTTTTGCTGGCAAGCCTGGCAAAGCGCTTCTGTTCAAATCCATTGGATCTGTAATCAAAGGTGACATAATTATCAGTTAGAACCCTCTGCATTGCATATTTGTTTTAAAAGAAAGAGAACAGTTCATAATCATTAGGGAGAAAAGTAAGACATATTTCAGGTATATGCAAATAGAATCCAAGAGTCAAAATACGTAATTTATCCTTTTCTTAGTCCTTTTCTGGACCCTTTTCTCACTGTTTGACAACTACTCAAACCCTTCCCACTCTCTAAAGGTCCAACTCACTCTTAGCTGATGTCCACATCTTATATTTATCCATTCATTAAACAAATATTTACTGAATTCTCGGTGGACATTAGGCATTGTGGTAGACACTGTAGGAAAATTAGTATGACACAGTGCCTGTCCTGATGAACTCACAGTAAGTAGAGATGTTAAGACAGACATTTAAATAAAACAAAAAGCATAATCTGTGGTAGAAATACGTATAGGGTACCACAGAAACAGAATGGGGACTTCACTCAGCTTAAGGGAGGAATGGTAAAAAGATGGCATGAGGTATGGACCAAGAATGGTCAGTAGAGAATTCACAGGAGCGGCCCCTAAGCTAAGTCTGAAACAAGAATGATTTAATCAAAGGGATGCAGGTAAGAAGCAGGGGACATCAGGGTCAGGAGGTCATTTCAGGTCAAGGCACAGCACAAAGGACAAAAACAAAGGCACAGAAATAAGTTATTCTAGTACTTTCAAGGAACCAAAGGCAAACTACAGACTGAAGTATGACAAATGAAGTGGTCATGAGTCAAAGCTGGAGAGGCCAAACCATAATGAGCTTTGTAGAACATGGTAAAAAGTTAGATTTCATCCATAAAGGATGGGTTTAAAGCAGGAGCATAAACTGCATTTCAAAGAGATTACTCTGGAAGAAAGTCTCTGCAATGCCCTTGGCAACAGATGGTAAAGGAAGGACAGCAAGAGGGATAACACAATAGGCAAAACTAGTAGGATTTACTGAATGATTAGACAGAAGGAAAAAGGAGAAAGTAAGTTTGCCTCACTGGTTAATAATTTGAGTGACCATGTGAATGAGACTGCCACCAGGCAGGCTAGAGAGCAAAAAAGCAGCAGTAGACTTACAGCAGCAGAAGCTGTTTTGAAGGCAGTTTTGTATATGTTATATTTTAGGTGTCAAAAGTGCATATGAAGAGAGAAATCCATTATGGAGCTAGATGCTCTAAAATGAGCTGGAAATACAGACTCGGAATCAGGTATATAGAGATGGTGTTAAAGGTCTGACTAGACAAGACTCAGCCAGAGAGAGTACAGTCCATTGAATGAGAATGACAAGAGGTTTTGGAGAGAGCCCTGAGAAACATTTAAGGGGGCCAAGAAGAAATGATAAAAGAAAAGAACCAAGAGTAGGGTGTCATGAAGCCAATACAAGGGTGAGCTTCAAGGAGGTAGTAAGTGGACCTCAAACCCCTTCCAACTACTATGCGTTATCTAAAGTCCTTCCCCTTTTTTAAGTCCTGGGAATCAAATCCAGTACCTCAAGTTTGGTAAATATGTGCCTACCAGTGAGCCTTGTCCCTAGGCCCTTGTTATTTAAACTTCTTGAAAGAGCCTACATTCACTGTCTCCATTTCCTCATGTTTTATTCACTCTTTAATACAAAGAATGTGACTTTTTTTTTAAATTGTGCCGTAGAGCTAGCTCTCTTTCAGGTCATTAGTGATATTCCTTGTTGCCAAATCCAACAATTCTTCCCTTTTTCTCAAACTAGTCACCAGGTTCTACCATCTTCTTCCCTAACCACTGCTCTACTTCCTCCTCTCTCCACCCTTATCACAGTCAGACCATCATCATTGTATCTGGTCTATTTGGTGCCTTTCAAATACTCCACAATATTGCCATAATGATTTGTCTATCTAAAATACAGGAGCTGCTTTTTTTTTTCTTTTGGTACCAGGGATCAAACTTAGGACCTTGCGTTTGCAAGGCAGGCGGTGGAACCACTGAGCTAAATCCCCGGCCCTAGGAGCTGCTTTTAATACTGAAATGGCTTCCCTCGCCTCTAGGGCACGGACCACATTCCTCAAAAAAGCTCCCAAGGCGTTTTGTGACTAGAACTCTGTCAAACTCTCTAGTCCATCTCATACAACTCTATCTCACACTTTATGCTATCCAACAAAAGCAAATTGTTTATGACCCCACCCCATCCTATAACACATGGTATTCCATATTCTATGACTTAGCACAAACAAGACCCTTTTCCCTTAATATCGTTCCTTTCTCTTGGCTGGTTACTGATATCCTGTAAGATTCAAATCCTCTAGGAAGAATTCTCAAACCACATCCTCGCTCTTCAATGCTGAATTTACTCTCCTGTTGTGTTCCCAAAGCATGTGAAAATTTTCTATGGTAACACTAACCAAGTAGCCTTGAAATTATCTGTCTGCTCATATAGATAGAAAGTGAGCTCCTAGACTTGGGGTCTGTCCCTCACTCAATGTGAAATCTTTGGCACCCAGTACATAGCTGTTTAAAGTTAAAACATGTATGTTGGGAAAAAAAAGTTATGTTAAGGACTTTCCTAAGAAATACATGGAGTGACTAATGGAAGACTTTAAGAAAAAGGAAAGCTTATTATAAATGGCACCATCTCCAACCTTAGAAACATGCATATTATTCAGGAGCATCAAGGAAACCAGTTTTTTACTTTGGGAAATAAATACTTAAAAGAATCAACCTTAATATGACCACCCAAAGGAAGGCAAAGATATCTGCTCTTATTGGCAGCTAATGCAACAGGGCAAGAAAATAAAACAAAAGGCATCCACAATGAAAGTAAAATTATTTGTATTTGTAGATGGTATAATCCTCTAAATATAAAATTTAATAGGATCTATAAAAAGAGATATTGTAAGGCTGGGAATTTAGCTCAGTGGTTCCACTACCTGCTTTGCAAGTGCAAGGACCCGAGTTCGATCCCCAGTACCAAAAGAAAAAGAGATATTGTACAAAGTGAGCTTTATTACCGGTATAAGGAAACAATATTTGTTGCCAAGAATAAAGTTTAAGCTTTCAAGTGTAAATTAGAATTCTGAAGAATTGTATGCATCACCATGAATTTGTTAGCTTTCCATTATTTAAAGACTTCTGTGATAAAGCCTGAGACAATGCTACCAAAAGCAATTTTTTTTTTTTGGTACCAGGGATCGAACTTGGGTCCTTGTGCTTGCGAGGCAAGCGGCGGAACCACTGAGCTAAATCCCCAGCCCAACAATTTTTTGATATTATATAAAGTATACCAATATTTGGAAAGTCTGAAAAACTCAACAAACCAACATGTTACAGATGATTGATGCATGGTATTATAAAATTATGCATGGGTATAAGATTCAAAGTATAAAGCTGTATAAAAAATTCTTTGATATGCTTTAACTAACCTGAAAGGAACTAGCACTTGAGTTTTTGTATTGTACTTTCTTTTTCTACTACCTATATATAAGGCAGAATTTTCTTTCGACAGTTCAGCTAAATAATATTTCACAATGGACATATGCAAAATCCAGCTACTACTAACCTAAACATTAATGAGATAGACACGCAAAAATGAAAATCAACATCATCCTTCTATTAACATAGTAACATGTAATGGCTCTATTACTTTATAGAGCAAATTAATACTTTTTAAACATATTGGTTTAATTTCTATTATGGTAAATATCAATAGATATATGCCACATAAATAAAAGGTTTATGGAGTAGTCAATCATTTTTAAAATGCAAAAGGATCCTGAGATTAAAAAATTTGGGAATCACTGTGCTAGATGTAAGAACAATGTTCTTTAGTAGGCAAAAGGAGATGAGACCCACTATGTATGTAGAAGGACTGACATTAAGTAGGAGCAAATATAGTTCATCCATCATAACAGACAGGAAGTTAAGAGTATATAGGTGCAGATGCTGGTAGGTGAATAGATGGGGTGGTAGGAATCTTTGAGACATTACCGGAGACTTACTCCTAAGACTGAAGAGAACTATGGTTCAAGCACATTTTAAAGATATAACAAACAGAAGTCTCCAGATCACAACCAATCACTCAACTTCTCCAAACTTTAGAAAATATTAAAAATGACCAATGTCTAACACAAAGGGTGTCCCATCTGGACCACATCAGTTGTTTATCTAGAGTAGTGGTGGCAAACCTACGGCACAAGTGCTGCAGTGGGCTGTTTGTATCATCAAAAGCTCTAAAAGGTTCATTATCACTAGCCTAGAGCTTTAAAAAACATTCTGAAAAGGAAACAAAGAGGAGAAAGAAAAGAAAAGAAAAGAAAAAGCATACTATTCACCTTGTGATTACAGCAGAGAATGAGTGTAGTTTAAGAATGGTAGTGAAGGTTAGGGTGAGAAGAAAGTGGGCAGAAAAAAATGAAGGAAATAGTCTTACCTATCCACTCCATCCCAGCGATATCCAGGCCAGATATTGAATCTGTTTGGCGGTGGCGCTGGTCCACTGTATCGAGGTCTCACTAATGAGAGGAATGAAAAAGTTACTTATGTAATTTAATTCTGAGATGGATGGCGATGGGGGAAAATTTTTCTATGTCTTACCCTGAAAGAATGGCCACCATCAAGAAATCAAATAATAATAAATGTAGGCAAGGCTGCAGGGAAAAAAGGAACCAGTCTACATTGTTGGTGGGAATGTAAACTAGCACAACCACTATGGAGATCAGTATGGAGATTCCTCAAAAAACTAAAACTAGAAATTCCATTTGACCTAGCTATTCCTCTTCTATATATCTTCCTGAAAGAGTTAAAGACATCAAATTACAGCAATACATACATAGCCATGTTTATCACAGCACTATTCATAATAGCTAAATCTTGGAAGCGGCCTCTATGTCCATCAACAAATGAAAGGATAAAGAAAATGAGGTCTTTACACACAATGGAGCATTACTCTGTCACAAAGAAGGTAAAGTTCAGTCATTTTTTTATCTTTTGGTACCGGGGATTGAACTTGGGACCTTGCACTTGCAAGGCAGGCGACAGAACCTCTGAGCTAAATCCCCGGCCCAGTTCAGTCATTTTTAAGAAAATGGATACACCCTGAGACCATGTTAAGTGAAATAATCAGACACATAAGCTTAAATATCACATGGTTTCTCTTATATAAGAAACCTAAATTATAAATAAAGAGCAAAACAAAAGATAGGTAATAGGAAGTAGAGAGATAGATCTTTCTCAAATGGAAAGGGCAACAAGAGATGGAGGGAGGAGGGAGGGAGGGGAGGGAAAGGGTACGAAAAAAGAAATTACGATGTGTTATGCACATGTACCGACTTCACACAAGGAATGTAAACATTACACACTGCAAACACATACTCATAAAAAAGAAGAAATCCCTACCAGTTGAACTCAAACTCCAGACAAATACAAAGAATTTTAAATTGTATAGGAGAGGGCCAGGGATTTAGCACAGTGGTTTTGCCGCCTGCTGCGCAAGCGCAAGGACCCAAGTTCGATCCCTAGTACCAAAAAAAAAAAAATTGTATAGGAAAACCCTCTTTGCATACAGCTATGTAGAGGAACCCCAATAATTCTCTCTTCACTAAGCCAGCTCCAGCTCTGAGGGTTCCTAGACTCACCTTTCTTATTCTTGTTCTCCTTGGCCTTATTTTTCTTGATGAAGTTGGCCATGGGGTCTCCCTCTCTTTCTTGTTCTCTCAGCATCCGATCCAGATCTTCATCATCAATATAGCGGGCCAGAGGCTTCTGCATCTCCTTCACTGCATCCTCCACATTTTGTTGCTGTTGCCGGCTCTGGGCAAGCCTGGGCAGGAAAAAATCATTCTTTTAATATTTCCACTCCTACATGGAGATGGACCACAATGCCATATTCAAAGACCCTCCTCCTGGCAGTGGCCAGTGCCAAATATTTTCTTTCTGGTACCAGGGATCGAACTCAGGTCCTTGTGCTTGCGAGGCAGGCAGTGGAACCACTGAGCTAAATCCCCGGCCCTAGTGCCAAATATTAAAAAGGGTAAAATGGACCAGGTATTTAACTCAGTGCCACCGCACTTGCCTTGCAAGCTCAAGATCCTGAGTTCAATCCCTGGTACCAAAAAAAAAAAGTAAAATCCTCAGAATGTCAACTGCAAGTACAGAATCTATCAGTGTTGGAAAAGCGATTCAGCATACTGAATGTCCATTCCGGATAACTAAGCTTTGAAGAAAAGCAGAGAAACAACATGCTCCAGGCACTGCCATCTTGCTTTCACTTTCAGTGATGCCCTTACCCTTTGCCCCACTGGGCATACAGCTCTTCTCGTTCTGAGTCCTTCTCTGCTTTTCTCTTTTGCTCTAGACGTTCCAGTTTCAAATTCCTCTTACGACCAGACTTGTCACGAAACACAGTTTCAGCAAACTGGAATTCGGCTGTGAAAGAAGAACTCTTTTTAAGATAAATGTCTGAGATCAAAATCAGAAATAATATTCTAACAAATGAAATCAACTGCTTGGGATTTTGATGCTGGATAAGAACATCTGCAGCCAGACCACAAGTAGTTCCCACTAACATATAGGTGTATATTGAGAATGGGCCTAAGAACTGACATTTTTCAAGAGGGAAACACTTGAATATCCTGAAAGGTTAAAATGATGCATAAAAACCAGAGCTGGGATCTGATAGCAATTAAAAATTTAAATTATCAGGTATAACAAGCTATCTTAAAAAGAAAAAAAGCTACACGAGCCTAGACTGCACCCTGCACTTTCATTTTTACCTTCAAACGCCATGTTTTCTTGATCCCGTTTTTTGAGCTCCTGCTGTTCTTGCTGTATGTCAGTTAACACCAACCCAGTTTTAGCCCCAGAATACATGTGCGCAGCCTGTGCAATGGAAAAGGAGTATCCAACATCAGTAAGACAATACAGCAATAGGCTCCATGGGTCTACACAGTTAGTTGCATTTTTGTCTACAACAACCACACCAAAGACACTAGCTTTTATTCTCCTTACTGACCACAAGATTTACAACATAGAAAAAAAGAAACAAAATCTAATTTCATAAAAAATTTAATAGTACTATCAACTTTAGGAGTACACAGAAGCGCATACCAATAATTCATTAAAGAGAGAGCTAAGCACTTACATTTCTGACTTTTCATATGTAAAGTGCACACGTGAAGACTCACTCACTCAGATCATCTGATGAGAAACCTGTATCAAGCTCTGGGCCACCCATTAGAGACCCAGTATATAAAATATTCCATTTAAAGTACAAATTTAAGCAAACCTAAGATCCTCAAATTGTGGATATGTAATAAGGACAATAATAGAAGACATAAGCACATGAAAACTTTCCACAAATCTACACTTTGTATCAAGATAGCCAATAAACCCCAAACCACAGACGGAGTATATATTAAACTGTCAAGGGGTCCAGTTAAAATAGGGACCTTACTCTTCTTCAAAGAGGTTCAAGGACAGGGTGGTCTGTCCTGCCAGGATCAATCTTCTCCAAACCCTTCTGCAGAAAAGACTCACCTGAGAAGTCTGCCTTGGAGAGAAACACGTGCATTACAGGCTCTATTGTTCTTACCCAACTCACGAGTGAGACTCCTTTACTACTGCTAGTGTTCTTTACAATGTAATCACTGTACTCTGAGTTCATGTGTGTTTCTCTTTTGCTAATTCATCAAACTTTATCCCAGATTTAAAACAAAACAAAATATTGACGCTCCACACAATATAATTTGCAAAAGTGATTTTATATTTTAAGTTCCTCTCCTTAAGCTCTAGATATAGAAACCAGTAGTTCAATTTATAATAAATTTATAATAATAAATCATTAATACCAAATCCTTGCTTTGTCTCAGACACTGTGCTGTGAGTTTTAATTACACTAATTCATACTGCATTCTCACAAAAGCCTTACACTGTAAAATAGAAACTAGCATTCTTCACATTTTACAGATGAACAAGCTGAGCCTTAGAGATATCAAGTATCTTGCCTAAATCTCACAGATAGTAGCAGAAGTAGGATTCAAATTTGCGTTTGGTTCAGGACTGTGCTCCTAACCCCACTCTGCAAAGGAAAGCCGTCAGTTCTTAAAAAAACAAGTTTTCGGGCCGGGGATTTAGCTCAGTGGTTCCGCTGGCTGCCTTGCAAGCACAAGGTCCCAAGTTCGATCCCCGGTACCAAAAAACAAACAAACAAACAAAAAAATAAGTTTTCCTCCAATGATAATGCATGCCTGTGTGTACAACAGGATAATTCAAAATCTTGGAAGCAGCCTATCTGTCCATCGAAGGATGAATGGATAAAGAAAATGTGGTATTTATAAACAATCAAGTGCTACTCTACCATGAAGAAGGATAAATGTAAGTCACTTGTAAGAAAATGGATGTAGGGCCAGGGATTTAGCTCAGTAGCGCCACGCCTGCCTGGCCTGCCTCGCCTGCCTTGCAAGAGCAAAGTCGTGAGTTTGATAACCAGTACTGGAAAAAAAAGAAAATGGATGTACCTTGAGACAGTAATGTTAAGTGAAATAAATCAGACACACAAGCTTAAATGTTACATGTTTTTTCTTATATGAGAAACCCAAAATATAAATAAAGAGCAAAATAAAAGGTAATAGGGAGACAGATCTTTTCAAATGGGAATGGGATCAAGAGATGGAGGGAAGAGGGAAAGAAAGGGGATGAAAAAAGAATTCAGATGTGTTATGTACAACTCCCCAAAAGGAATGCAATCATTATGTAATGCAAATGTATGTTAATTTTTTTTAAAACCCACAAGTTTTTCTGGATATATTAAAATGAGATTAGTGGAATTATGAAGTTGTAAGACAGAACCTCTTATGAAATCTGGTACAGGTTGAGCATCCCTAATCCAAGTCTGAATTCTGAAATTCTCCAAAATCCAAAATTTTCTGAGCATCATGTTAGTGTTCAAAAAGTTTTCAATAATCAGACATACAAGCTTAAATATCACGATTTTGCTGATATGAGAAACCCAAAGTATAAATAAAGAGCACAATAAAAGATAATAGGAAATAGGGAGATAGATCTTTTTTGGAAAAGGGAAGAAGGCCAAGAGATGGTGGAGGGGGAAGGAGATGAAAAAAGAATTAAGAGGTGTTCTCTACATACTAACGCCTCACAATGAATGTAATCAATTTCAGATTTTTGTATGCACATATTCCAAAATCCAAAAAACTCCAAAATCTAAAACAAGTCTGGGGCTGGGAATGTAGCTCGGCGGCATGGCACCCGCCTGGTAAGTGTGAGGCCCTGAGTTCAATTCCCAGTACCAATCAATCAGTCAATAAATTAATCAACCAACCAATCAATCAATAAAACAAGTCCACTCCCAAGCATTTTGAATAAGGGATATTCGATCTGCATTTAGAAGTCCATCTAATTTGAGTTATAGCCAGTCCTGCCTTTATAGAGACAGTTCCAAAAGTCCTTTTAACTAAGATTTATTGTACTAGTGAGAGCTACTTCCTGCTCCTCTGGCCTGATTCTCAGGGATTTATATAAAGCTAAAAAGTAGGAGTCATTCTAAGAGAAGGAAATGCCTCCCAGATATCTGTACCTTCTTTCCAGGAGGCTGACTCCTTCGAGGTGGAGACAGATCAGAATCCGAAGATTTGGTCCTCTGTTTCCTCCTTGGTGGAGAGAGGTCAGAATCAGAGCTCTGGCGTCTTGGTCTATTCCTTGGAGGTGACAGATCTGAATCAGAATCCTGGTGCCCTGGACTCCGTTTATGCCGTGGAGGTGAAAGATCTGAATCAGAAGCTTTCCTGTAGTCACCTGGGGAGAAAGAAGAGTTCATCATGTGACACTGATGTCTCCTAGGTGAAAGGCCTGTAAGACTTATCCTATGGCTGGGAGAAGAGCCTAGAAATTAAAGAATAAATGAGGGCTGGGTGAAATAGCTCACTGGTATAGTGCTTGCCTAGCAAGTATGAGACCTTGGTTCAATCCCCAACACTGTAAAAAAATTAATTAACTAATCTCCTTAGAACTTTCCAAGTAAGTTAGCACATTTGTTTAATCTTCTTGTGAAAAACAATAACTAACCTGAACACAAGTATGGATGACACAAGAGAACAAAATCAGATTCAACTTTTACACCATAGGCAGGATATGGAGGTTCTATTCCCACAGGACTAATGAATGCATGAGATATCAACACACTAATCTATGTATAGTTACTTCCTCCCCTCCAGGCCAATAAAATAGGCAAAACAACTTGAAGCAAGCCCTCTGAACTGTGGTACAAGTCAGAAACACCTAGAATGCTGTATATTCTGATGTCCTTAAACAAGATAACAAAGTATTTTAATTTAAAATTAAGAGTGCCTAGGAACAAAAGATGAAGTAAAATATTTCTTTTCGTAGGCCTAAATTCTAGATAAAAGGATCACAAGGGGCCAGGGATTTAGTTCAGTGGTTCAGTTGCCTGCCTCACAAGCAGAAGACCCAAGTTCAATCCCTGGTACCAAAAAAAAAAAGGATCACAAATCACCTCTCAAAAACCAATATGCAATATGCATTAACAGTCTCAAAAACATCCATACCTTCTAAGCTAATAAATCAACTTCTTAGCTTTCTAGGAAACCCACCTATAAGTAAAATTTCCAAGTAATCTTTAAAGAAGCAGAAAAGGAAATAACCCAAAATAGGGACAACAGTTTATATATAAGACTATTCACTAAAAGAATTAAAAACAAAAGCTCAGAAATAATCAAAAACATGTAATAGGGAAATGACTGAGGAAATCTTAATAACCTAATGTCATTAAAACTTATACTAACATAGAGATGTTTTAGACCTGAAAATTATGTTAAGAGGACAGGAAAGATCACACGTGATAACTTATGTTCGGCACAGTCAGGAATCAACTCTATCAAGAGCACATAATAGGGCTGGGGATTTAGCTCAGTGGTTTCGCCACCTGCTGTGCAAGTGCAAGGATCCAAGTTCAATCCCCAGTACCAAAAAAAAAAAAAAAGGTGAAATTTTAATTAAACTAAAAGACACATTGCCATACTCTCTCAAAATACTCCCCCTTGCTTCAAACACATTCACCCCATCATTCTTGTCACTTGATGAAGCAGTTCTAGAAGTCTTCTTTCATGAGTGTCTTTAGTTGCCTGTCATGGCTGCCTCAATGTCCTGAACTAATTCAAAATGTTTACCTTTCATGGTAATTTTGACTTTGGGGAACAGCCAGAAGTTGCACAGTGCCAAGGAAGGGACAAGAAAAAAAAGAGAGAATAGAAGGAAAAAAATGGAAACAAAGGGGAGGGAAATGGAAAAAAAAGAAGCAAGATATATCATGTATAGGTACAGATTCCCTATGATGTATGTTATCATTATGTATATCTAAAATGTACCAATAAAAATTTTTTAAAAAGAATAACAGAAAAGAAGTTGCACAGTGCCAGAGCCAATGAATAAGGTGGATGAGGACACACCACAATGTTTTTATTTGACAGAAATTGCCATAAACAATTTGAATTGATTCAAGATGTCAAAACAGCCATAAGATACAAAAGGAAAAAAAAAGATACAAAAGATTCTGAAAACTTCTTCAGAAAGTGGCAAGAAATATAGGATAAGTATGCTATATTTCTTTTTTTTTTTTTTTTGGTACCAGGGATCAAACTCGGGTCCTTGAGCTTGCGCAGCAGGCGACGAAACCACTGAGCTAAATCCCTGGCAAGTGTGTTATATTTCAATTCCCTCTTGTAGTATATGTTTATATGGGGTAGGGACACTAAATACATACATATAAAAACTTTCTACCCTGCCATTGTAGTTTTTAAACTCTCCTGAGTCCAGCCTCTCACTTTACAAAACGTTTCCAAAGAAACTCATTCTCAACCCCTTATAAAGCAAGTAAAGGCCCAAAAGAAAGCTTCCAGAGATTCTCTCCCATGGCAGTCATGATGCTTACCTTTAGAATCAAGCTGCTTCTTATCTCCAAAATGAGATTTTCCTTGTTTTTTTCGGGGAGGAGAGAGGTCTGAATCATATTCACTTTCGATGTTCTTCAGGAGTGATGGATGAGTAGGTCCTGACCCCTTCCAATGTGAAGAAGTCTTGCTAGAGGCTCTTTCTGGGGTTTTATTTCTTTTGATTCTGGGCAGTGAATGAGCAACATCAGGGGCCAAATGAGAGGAGTCATGATGACCCCTCCTGGGATGCCATGTGTCTGAGGAGTCAAGAGTCCTCCTAGGTTGGGATGGGTCAGAGGCATTGTTATGGATACCTGAGGAATCATGAGGGACTCTTCTAGGAGATATATCTGAAGAATTATGATGAGGTTTCCTAAGAGGGGATGCATCTGAGGAGTCATGGTGGATCCTCCTGGGAAGAGATGTGTCTGAGTCTTGACGGGCCCTCCTGGGAGAAGATGGATCCGGGGTATCATGACGGGCTCTCCTGGGAGGAGATGGATCCGGGGTATCATGATGGGCCCTCCTGGGAGGAGATGGATCTGGGGTATCATGACGGGCTCTCCTGGGAGGAGATGGATCCAGGGTATCATGACGGGCCCTCCTGGGAGGAGATGGATCCGGGGTATCATGACGGGCTCTCCTGGGAGGAGATGGATCCGGGGTATCATGACGGGCCCTCCTGGAAGGAGATGGATCCAGGGTATCACGATGGGCCCTCCTAGGAGATGAATCCGGAGTATCCTGATACATAGGTAAGGGCAGGTCTTCACTATGGTCTAAACATAAATAGTAAAGAGTCAAATTCCCACAAATGCTCTGTCCACCCCTCACACCCGAATTTTCAAAAGATGCCCCAGGAACACACACCTTAGAACTACTCAGAAAGCCCTAAAGGTGTACACAGCTCTCTTTTGTTTAGGGGGAGCAAACCAACATTCATGGATATCTTGAGAATACTTCTCTTATTCATCTATTTGCAGAGCATTTTAAGTACACTTTTCATATTCCTGTCTCTTGTAAACTCTTCCAAAGTCGTGTCTTTATTTCAGGAACTCCCTCCAATGCTGGGCCAGAGAACAATGAGTGATGAAAGGCTCCAACTGAGTTACTTTCTGTACTCAGAAACCCTAGTGGAAAAAAAGTCAGAGCAGAAGGGACACCTGGTCTATAACTTCCTATGTCTTAGTACTTCTGAAGAAGTTCTGAATTCTTTTCCCCACTGTATATTTCAGGATCAATGATACATAGAAACAAACTATGCATTCCTCTTTTAAAAAAAAAAACATAGAGGCCAGGGATTTAGCTCAGTGGTACTGTTACCTGCCTTGCAAGTGCAAGGTCCCAAGTTTGATCCCCGGTATCGAAAAAAAAAAAGGTAAAAAAGCATAGAAAAGGAAAATTTTTCCCATAATAGGAAATTTATATTTTTTATATTTATCTATTACTGGAACTCACCTCCCAGAAGCTTCCATTTGGTGCTAGAACGAAAAGCCTCCATCTGCTTTACCTCTTCTGGTCGCTCATCCACAAACTCAGCCACCTTTGGAAGTAAAGACACTGTGCTGGGGAAGAACGCAAGATCTAGCCAAGAAGCATTGTTGTCTCAAGAACCTGAAGCTACTAGCAATTAAGAATGGGAATGACTGCTGAGCACAGGGGTGCACACCTGCAACCCCAGTACTTGGGAGGCTAAGGCAGGAAGAGCACCACAAATTCAAGCCAGCCTGAGCTGCACAGTCACTTCAAGGCAGGCTTGAACTACACAGTAACAGCCTATCTCAAAAAAAAAAAGATCAAAGAATTCTAATTCCTAATATATACTGGGCCCACACACCCAAAGGAAATCATTAAGAAATATGCAACAGTCCTTAGTTATGTTTGCTCCATAAAGCTCTGATTGTCACTATTGGCTTAAGTGTAGATCTTTCTCTGCCAGTCATGTTTTCTCCAAAGATTAATTTCTTTCATTACAAACTTTTTTTATTACCCCTTCAGCTACACAACTGCCACTTGTAAACTAAATTCCTTTTACAATTTATTTTTACATTCAGAGTGAAAACATAAGCTGCCTTCCTGTCACACCTATCTCTAATTAAGGCCTCTGAACCCTATGAAACTTTGTTGTAAACAGTCACAATGATAAGTCTTCTTGAATCCAACCAAAGGAGCCACTGAGATGGACACAGAATCATAGATTCCTTCATATTCTCCAAACTCCTAAACAAAGTAGAATCTTGGCCCCCCAATCCCAACCCAACAGCAGTGCTAGGAATTGAACCCAAAGCCTCATGCCCACTAGACAAGTGCTGTACCACTGAGCTACATCTCCAGCCCTGGAATCTTCTCTACAGTATCTCTAATAAATGATCATTCACCCAATCCCTCCCTGACAAAGAACTCACTAACAGGGAACTCATTCTCTTACAAGGAAGTCCACTGCATTTTTTGCACAGTGTTAGTCTTAGTATTATTGGACCTATGCTTACTCTCCTATAACTTTTTTCCTTCTATCCTAATTCTGAGCTCTGATACAAAAATTCCCCTTTCCACATGACAGACTTTCAAAGATAGCTGGCATGATAAATTCTAGTTACAGAATAGCAACTGTGTACTAGGCACTGTGTTGTGTCCTTCACTTATATTATCTCACTCAAACCTCACAACAATCCAACAAAGAAAGATTCTAGGGCATTTACCAATAAATTGAACCAGAGAGTTTAAATAACTTCCTCAATGTCACAAGCTAGCACACTGCAAAACTGGAATTCAAATCCAAATTAAGTCCCCTCTACTACTTCTCTTCTCCCAAGATCCTACCATCATTCCTCATACAACCTACTTTTGAGATCTCCCTCTGGACATTGATGGCACAGGCTTTCAAGTACGACGAACTGAGATCTAAAACCCCAGCTCTGCCACTAACAACTGTGTAACCTTTGGCAAATTATTCTAAGCTTCAGTTTCCTCGTTGTAAAAGCCAGACACAAAGGATTGCTGTGAGAATTAAATGATATCATTCATGTAAGCTTAGTAGTGCTTAGTATGTGGTAAATGCTCAATAAAATAAACTTATTAGTTACTCTTATGCAAATTGTTATTACTGTCATCATAATTATTTTTGTCATCATTATTGGTGGTCATGGCAATCTTGCTATAACAAAAATGAACTCAATCATCAAGGTCTGTTTTAACCACTGCAGAGTACACTAGGCCTAAAGCCTCCTTTATTTAGGGTTCTGGACCTTCACAAAAGCAAAAGACAGTATTACAAAGGAAAATTAATAGACTTGAGCCAGGATGTAGCTCAGTGGTATAGTGCCTGCCTGGCAAGTTTCATTCCTGGTACATCCCACCCTTGCTCTGCAAAAAAAAAAAAAAGAAAAGAAAACTAACAGACTTGACTACACGAAAATTAAAATTTCTAAAAGGCCAAATATTATATAAATGAAAAGGCAAATGACAAAACATACCTACAATATATAAAATGCATATGTTCTTATTCTATAAATACCAAATGAAACAATGAAGAAAATAAAAATCCCCTGTGCTCTAATGATACTTGATGCCTATGTGGAATATATCTTCAAAATGTATTTATTGTTGAAACTGTTTAAAATTTAGTCTCTTATTCTAGGGTGTAATCACTAAAGCACAGATAGTATCATTTATTCATCTATGTATCTCCAGTTCTTAGCAAGAATGTACAATTTTAAAGCTTAGTAAAACCAAAGAACAAAATGGGCAAATAATAAGTTCCTTTTAATTGAACTCAAACATCATTTTTAAGGTAGATTCCAACAAACTGAACCATGAATAATGCTAATCATGGTTCAATCACTATGTCAAGGTGTCTTGCCTCTCTGTTCTGATTTGTAAGCTGATAGGTCCCTCCATAAACAGAGAAGTCATTCAACAAATGCTGCTCATATTATGATGGGGTTATGTCCACTAAAACCTTCATAAACTGAAAATATCATAAGTTGAAAATGCATCCAGGCATGGTGGTGCACACCTGTAATCCCAGCACTCAGAGGCTGAAGCAGAAGGATCACCTTGAGTTCAAGGTCAGCCTGAACTACCCTGTCTCTCACACACACACACACACACACACACACCAAATGTACAGTTTTATCTGAACATGTATTGCTTTCACACTACTATAAAGTAAATATTAAAAAATCAAAAGTTAAATCATCAGTAAGTCAGGACCATTTGTATAAGCATCATGAAAGAAGACTATGGTAAACAGCTCTTTGGAAAGTGTCACCTCTTCTCTGTGCTGAGCTCTCCCTCCTAAAAATCTATGCACTGGGAATCAAGACTGAGAAGCTTGAACCATCTCAAAGTTCTGACAAGAGGACCATCCAAAAGATACCTACCACTGGCAGATCTACATCATCTTCCTCTTCCTTTTCTGGTTTAGTGGTAGAGATAGCTGTCCAGCTCACATCATCATCAACAATCCGCATTCTAAATAGAACAAATAAAATTATCAAAATAGAAAAAAACACTTATCTATTGGTTTAAAGGTGATGTTAAAAATCCTACATGGTCTAGTCTTTGTTTATATAGACAACTTCATCCCATGCCACTACCCTCTCAATTCACTTTCACTGGTCATTTTTGGGTGCCTGGAATGAATCAAGTTCCTTACCATGTCAATTTTCACAAATGAACCGCCTTCTTTCTGGTGACCTCCTTTTCTTCTCATTATTTATTAGGAGATTCTTACTCATCCTTCAGGTTCTAGCAAAATATAAATTCCTTGGGTGTATCTTCCTTGCCTACCCTCTCCCTAGTCCCAGGATAAAAAACCTTGAAGCACACTCTTGTAATACTTTCATTGTATCTATCACAAAACAAAGAAATCAATTAGTTGTATAAAGCTTATATTTTCATTAAACTATAAGCTCCATTTAAAAAAAGCACTAAGCATTCTTGTTCAGAGAGGCATCCTCGATATCCTGCAGTAACTAGCATAGGAGATACAGTCAGTCCCCCACATCCATGGGTTATGCATCCACAAATTCAACTACCCACAGGTTGAAAATATTCAAAGGGAAAAAACTATCTGGGGCCGGGGTTAGCTCAGTGGTTTCGCCACCTGCTGTGCAAGCGCAAGGATCCGAGTTCGATCCCCAGTGCCAAAAAAAAAAGAGTATCTGTATTGAATGGGTACAGAGTCTGTCATTATTCCAAAACTAATGCAGTATAACAACTATTGACAGAGCATTTATATTGTGGTAGGTATTATAAAGATGATTTAGAAGATGAATATGGGTTATACACAAATGGCATGTCATTTTATATAAGAAACTCCAGTATCTACATATTTTGGGAACCAATTCTAAATTACTATGGGATGACTGTATTCAAAACATATTTGTTATATGGATGAACCGTGATATGAAGTTATTATTTGAGAAGGTAGAAACACTTGAAACGTCTCTAATCACAACAAGCACTTAATATAAACAGTACTGTTCAGTATACCTTCATTTTAAAGATTAGGAAACTGAGACTCAGAATGATAAAATATCTTGCCACAGCCACACAGCCTATAAAGAGGCATAGCTAGGATTCAAACTCTGATCAGTACTGTTCCAGAACTCAAAGTACTTCTACTGCATGGCACTGCCTCCAAAAAATCCACACAAATCAGAGTGGAAGAAGATAAAAAGCAAGAATAAAACAAGAACCAAACCAGAAAAGAAAATGGACTAGTTCTTTGAAAGTATCTGAGTTCACTGGATGTATTAGTTTCCTAGGGCTGCCTATAACAAAGTACCACAAACTGGATGACTTCAAATGACAGAGATATATTCTCTCACAGGTCTGGAGGGTAGAAGCTGAAATCAAGTCCAAATCAAGGTATCTATAAGGCCATGCTCCACAAAAAGTCTGTTGAGGATTTTTTTGTCTTTTTTTTTTTTTTAAAGATATAGTCTCAATTGCTCAGGCTGGGCTTGAACTTGTGATCCTCCTGCTTCAGCCTCCTAGTTTTGCTAGGTTTAGTAACCTGTGCCAACAGGCTGGGTTCTTTCCTTGCCTCTTTTAGCTTCTGATGCAGGCAAACCTTGACTTGTGGCAGCATAAATCTAATCCAGCTTCTACCTACATATAGCTATTTTCCCTGTGAAAAATTTCCCTCTTCTTAAAAGGACAACCACAGTCATACTAAATTCAGCACCCAACTTAATCGAGTATGACCTCATCTTAACTGGTTGATTCTGCTAAGATCCTATTCTCAAATAATGTCATTCTAAGGTTCTCGATAGAAATTTGAGGAAGGAGAGCACTTTTCAACTCAGTACACTAGGTTGATAAATTTTCTCATTTGAACAATGATAACAATAATATCTATTTCATTGTAATAGGAAGCTTAAATTTATTTCAAAGTTCTTAGGTGCCTGGCACACAATAACTGTATAAATGTTAGTTGTCACGGTCAGCACTAGTAGTAGAAGAGTAACAGGATATGTTTTGGGTCTTTGATTTAGGATCAGATTCCTTGGGATTTGGGAACCGCAAGGGCTGATTCTGCGCCCTAAAAATCCGAGCCCAGAGGCTTTGAATTAGCTCCACTATTTTCGGGCCACGACAGTCAACCTCTGTGAGGACGAAAGCCTACTAAAGCGGGAAAAGAGTAAAGAAAGTTACAGCCTGGCTTTAACACATGGTAGGTGCTGCTCAGAGGCTCCTCTCTGGAAGAGGGGAGACAGCAGCAGTAAGCCGGAGTCTGGAGCGGTGTGAGCGGAGGCCTGGCCGAGGAAGCTCCAGCGAAGTAAGCAGCACGGCGAGACCGACCCACCCGGGGAGAAGAGGCCGGCAGCCGAGGGCGGAGTCGGAAGGGAGAGGGGCGGCGAGCCGCAACAGGCACCGCCCCCGTCAGGACCAACTCACCCCTTGCCGCCGGCCCCTCCTGGCTTCGGTCGCTTTTTGCGCCGCTTGCGACCGGACGCGGGTCCCCCGTCCATGCCAGCATCATTCTCGGACAGGTAACGCTTCAGGTACTCGGCCTTGGAGAGCAGCGGAGCTGCCGCCATAACAGCAGCGAAAGCGGGAAGACGGCTCGGCGTTGGGGACAAAATTCTTGAACGCGAAACAGAAGGTTAAGGCCCGAGGGGAGGAGCTACAAGCGGAAGTGGCGAAGGATGCCCAGAACCACCTGACAGATTAGTGGGATTCGCCGGTGTCGCGTTTGCGAGCAAACCCGAATGTTAACACCTCCGCAGTCCAGTCTATGTTCTACGACAAGGTAATCACGTTTCTATTATGTCCATGGTCCAACGTCCTTGACGCTACACAAGCTGACCCAAAAAAAGGTCCCCCGTCCTCAGCGGTTTCAGACCGCCAGTGTAGTAAACAAAGTAGACTCTTTTTTGGCTTCTTGAGACAAGATCTCGTGGTGTAGGCCAGGCTGGCCTTGAGCTTGCAGTGTTCCCCACGCTGGCCTCGAGCTCGCAATCCTCCTGCCACAACCTCCAGGGTGCTGATATTACAGGCGTGCGCCGTATATTTCCTAGCTGTACGAACTACAGCCAAGTTTTTTTTTTTTTTTTAAACAAAAGAGAGGTGGGAAATAAATAATGGCATCCAACTCAGAATGGTTGCGAGGACTGAGATATTACTGTGCCAAGTGCTTAAAACAGGGTCCATAGTCCGTATACGCATTGTTGTGCCCAGATCGCGAAGTCCCCAAAGACCACCAAGGAGCCGATTCCGATGCAAATGCACGAGGGTCTTTTATTCAAGCTCGAGCAGGGACTCTCAATTGTCACCGACGCAGCGGATCAAGATCGAGAGCCCCGAATTTTAAATTACCAGGGTTTTTATAGAGGTTACAGCAAGGTTTGGAGATTTTTTAATTTAGCAGTTACATGATTGGTTGACAATTAGTGAGCATGAAGTGTACATTTTTGATTGGCCAGGTGCATGAGGGGGAGGGGTTGAGGGGCGGTTACATGTAGGTTTTACGAGGGAAATGAGGGGCAAAGGTTGGTGGTCGACTGTCACGTACTGATGGTCAGCAGACACACTATTAGTCACGACCATTACGTACTGACAGTCAGCACATCTACAGATTGTTCTATGGATGGGGGCCCGGAACGTTTATTTCCTGGGCAAACAGATGGCTGAGTAATTAACTTAGGGACTTTGGTTTGTTACAGATTGTATCTTTTGTCCCAGAGCAAACACATTTTAACCATTAATTTGAGAGGCTAGGGGAATGGTGGATTTTAGCAAAATGGAGTCGCTTTGGTCTCACAGCATCTTTAAGTGAATGGAAATCCGCTGGAATAGTTTTCTAGGTACATTCAAAAGAGGAAAAGGGGAGGGGGGATCAGGAATGCCAAATCCAATCTAATCACTATGAAAAACGCTGTAGGTTACTCAAACCTATGTAACTTCCCCACATTTGATATTACTAACAGCTCCTAGTTACCTAATGAAGGAAATTGTGTAAAATCTTCCCAATGAAAAATGGTTATGGATTTTTTTGCAGCATAACAAGGGAAGCTAGAGATTGAATTCCAGTATTCAAACTTTGCGGGAGAAGGTTGGAGGGGGGCAGCTTTATTTGAATCGTTCAACTCTCACAATTTTCAGATAGGTTTATTATTATTACTTTACAGATGATAAAACAAGCTTTACCAATTTAAAGTATATTTGTCAAATAGGCATTGTACTTTATAAATAATCTTGGGATACATGTTCAAAAATTTATATACAAAAGAGCTTGGGGATTACTACTTTGAAGCATGAATTTTTTCAGTGCTGGGGATTGAACCCAGGACCTGGTACATGATAAGCAAGTGCTCTACCACTGAGCTACATACCCAACCCACAGCAAAAAATCTTTAACCACTAGGCTACACTGAGTGGTTGCAGCACAGGCCAAGAAAGGAAAGCAGGCTGTCTCTCAGGGCTTGTGAGAGGGACACCATGGAAGAAAATAGTTTCACCACCTGGAAGACCTCACAGATCTCCAATAATGAACCCCGACTTGGTTTCCAGTTCACTCTGGTGTATCGGAAACTCAACTCCACCCTAGTGTCAGTGGGCAGTTAGACTCATAGTTGTGCTCCAGGGAACATCAGTACAGCCCCACTAGCCCCCATCAGTCCAACCCCTGCCTATCTCCATCTTCAGTTCTATTCCATCCACTGACAGCCTCAGCCTGATAAGACCCAAACTCATATCCCAACTCCATCACACACGGCAGCTAAGCAGGATCAGACAAGTATGTGCTTAGTGGACAATCTGAGCTTTGCCTTTTCCCTGAAGTTGCAGCTAATAAAACATGTACAGTAATTATGGGCTTGAGTTCAAAACATCCAGAACTGGGTTTGAAGCCTGCCCCATAGCCTTCTGGAAATTACCTAACTTCTTTTAGGTTGTTTTCTTATCTATAAAATGGAGATAATTTATAAATCTTCCCCAGAAAGGGTTTAAAGCAGAAAAAGAGGTGCTTTAGAATTTTTGTGAGGATTCTATGAGAAATTACACAAAACCCTTCACAATTCACTTCACCCTCACAAAACCTGTACAAAATGATGCCACTAGTGTCCCCATTTTACAGACCAGGAAACAGAAGCATCAGAGATGCCCAGCTAAACTGAGGTGGACACACAAAATAAACTCAGCTCTTTTCTCTTCACAGGTGAAAACTGCCATTTGCCTATAAAGAGAAGTGTTTAAAATGGGGGTTTTTTGTATTAAATTCTTTTATTGGTACATTGTAGGTATACAACACAATTACATTTCTCGTTGGGAATTGTACCTTTACATAATGCATCTTGGTTCTTATTTTTTCCCCATTCCTAGCCCTCCCTTCACGCCCTCCACCCTTCCCTATTTACAAAGACTTTATTTCCAATGAAATGTTTTTAAAATAAGAATAAAGCCAAGGAGTTTTAAATACCACTGCCCTAAACTTAAGCACAGGCTTCCTTCCCTGCAGTGTGCCAACAGGCAACTGACTTGCCACAAGCGTAGAGGGAGAGTGGGGCAGGGTTGTAAAAAGTCTTACCATCACTGAAGCTCAGTTAGCCAGATCAACTGCCCTTCATACCTATTCCCACCACATACCCATCATGGACACAGGTGTATGTGCACTCAATACCTACCTCTTGCTCACAGGGCTAATGTACTTACCAAACTTGGAATATGAAGTAGGAGGCATGCTCTTAGAAATGGACCTCATGTTATAATTACAAAACTCCTTAAATTTTATTCTTGAAGCTGTAACTGAATCTACATGTTCTTGGGCAGGCACTTTTGACTGTCTTACCTTCCCTGACCTCAGGACTTTCTTTACCTTATTACCTACATATGTTACTTTCAGTGCACAACAGGGATCAATCTAAAACAGATGATTCATAATCTGGGGAGGATTATGTACAACAGGTTTTATTAGCCATATGCTAAGGACTGTAGAGCAAGACACAGTTAAACAGATATAAGTTCCTATCCTAACAGACTTTGAGAAATGAGAATGAGTTGAGAAGTGCTTCAAGAGAATGTTCTGAAATAAGGATACCAAGCCCTGGCCCAGCCAAAGATCAGAAAGTACCTTAGCTGGATTAGCCCAGTCTGGCCCCTGGTCCTCAGACTACAGTTTCAGTAACTGTACTCTCAGGTTATCACCTCCCAGTAACTGGATGGAGTCTGGTAGTTATAAACCAGAGTACCATTCTGACCCTTCACAATGGGAAACCTGGTGTCAGGGGCCATCCTCATAAAGTAAATGTCCCCCTGAGAAAATTCATTTAAGACCAAATGACAGATTAGAAAGTTGTCCAATAAAATCAGATTCTCAAGTCAGTTGGGAACACAACTACAGTCTCTTAAAATAGAATACCTGCATATAAGAAGCCTAAGTAAAGTACTGTAGCTTTAAAGTTTGTGAGTCACTTGCTAACATGAGTCTCTAAACTTCTTAAAACACCTCACTTAACAAAAATTACACATACAGGTATGGAAACTAGTCCTAAATGATAGTAAGATGTCAAACAATCCACTATGGACAGATGTATGAAAGCAGAACCTTAGGAAACAAATACCTTTGAGGGAGAGAGGAGGCAGATTCCAAATAAGGAATGATTTTCTCTTTAGAAAATCAAGAGCCAAGGAAAGGAGTGAAAGAGCTAGTCTATTAAAATGTGAGAGAAACAGAATAACAATGACATTTTCCAAACAGAAAATCACTTGAGACCTTGGTGTAATATATGATGTGAAGTCATCTTGATAACATCTCAATTAACTGGTCTTTACTGAACAAATACTGTGTAGCCAGCACAGCAGGTGTCACCTCTTGTCTCTGGGTCCTTCACTTCTAGCAACTACAGGCAGCCCTCAGCTTCCTGTACTCTACAGCACACGGCTGTTTGCAGTTCACTGCAAACCTGGAAATCTCTTCCTCTGGCTACATGGGGTAAGGAAAGCTTCCCTTCCTTCCTTCCGGGCTCTGCCTAAATGTCATATTGTCATCTTAATGAACTCTTCCCTGACCATTGTACTTGAAACACCCACACCCCTTCCCTGCCTGACATTTCTCCACAGTACTGATCACCATTTGACATGCTCTTCTGCTTATCTGTCAGTCTTCTCCACTAGCGTTTCTAAGCTCCATGGAAGCAGATTTATTTTGTCCACTGTTCTGTGATGTGCGTGGCATAAAGTAGACAGCAAACATCTGTTGAACAGATGAATTACATGGTAGCTCCAATCTTCAAAGTAGTGGTCACACTGGGGAAGATTTTCTTTAGAAGGCTGAATTCTAACAGCATGATATCCAACAAGACAGAGAAATGAAGAGACTAGTGTTGTTTGAAAGCCATCATTTTAATAACTTCTTCACCTGTGCTGACTTCTCCCCTCCAAATTCCTTTGGAAAGCCAGGACTTTATATGCCCCAAACCAACTATGAAATGTTTTAACTGCCTTTCATCTTTGCCAACTTCAGAGTTCCAACCATAGAGGACAGAACACTGTGGAGGGAAGGTAAAGAGTTGATAGGAAAAAAAGTGATGACCCCATGCTCCAGGGCTCATTTCTGCGTTTCTTCCCAGACCAATTCAAAACCTCCAAAATAAGGTCAGGTAACACAACAGGCTTGCATTTGCATCACAAGCTGTTTAGAAAGTCTTCCTAGATCTATGACACCAGCCGAGTGTTCTCCCCAGCCTAGGGAAGGGGTGGGGAGGACACCCCCGCTTTATTCCAACAGTAATAAACAAGCCTGTAGAATGCCCGGCACTGGAGCAGGTTGTGAGAGCCCACCGCTACCGCTGTGGGGACAGGCCTGCCTCATAGCCCTCTGTCTTCATGTCATTGAGCCCTAGCTCCTCATTCTGGTCAAAGGTGCGCTTGTAATGCTCCACCTTCATCTCTGGATCATCTTCAGGTGCATACATGTTCTGCAAGGACAAGGGCAGAAAATGAGTGCCTGTGCCACCCTACCACTCCCCCTGCTGAAGGTAGCTGCCAACTGCTACTTTCCCAAGAACTCAATGAGTTTTGTTCTCTTGAAGAGTCTCCAATCCCCGTGGCAAGGATGATCCAGTGGAGAGCAACAGGGTGGGATACCCTGGCCTCAGACAGAATCAGGAAAGTTATCCTAAAGCATTTTATGTCTGCACTTTTCTTGAGAAAAGTGTGGTAATGGTCTTAACTGTGTAAAGAACCTAGAACAGTTTTACTTCACAAATAATAAATGCTCAATGAATGTTAAAGTTACATCAGTCACTAGACTATCCCTTCAGTCAGCTTAAGGCCTCTGGATTTTCCTATCTTAGCTTCTGGACAGGGTACATTTCTTCTCATTCCATAATCAAGATTTGCAGAATAAAAACTCCATAGCTTGACTATAGGAAGAAAGAGGCCAAGAAGTATCCTGTTTTTTCTTCTTTACACACATAAAATGCCTCCCACCTTCCCTCTTTTCTCTTTTATCCTCTGACTTGTGCCAGAAATTCGCTGATGAAGAACAGTCCACTCAGTATCAATCTTTCAGTTTCTGGGAATATGATACATGTTTGAAAAAGATCAGAAAATTGATTCCCCATGAACATTTGAGAAGGTCTACTGTACCTGCAAGTAACTGTTTCCTGCTGGATCATTCATAATAAAGTGGGCCTTCATGCCACCCTCAATGATCTATAAGTGAGAGAAAGAACACAAGTAAACTTTACATAGCTCCCAGTAGGAAGAGGCTATGACTGCCAGACAAGGGCCAACCCAACTTACCCTGCAGATTCCTCAGTTTAAGAACTTTGAAATCAGGTACCACAGAAGTGAAGTAGAAAAGATCTAATAAAAGGTCTGTTTGAAAGCTATTCAAGACGCAATTCAACATCCTCAGTTCATCCCCTACTCCAAATGGCCAACAATTGTTTTTGTTACTCAAGAAGTTCCACAGCAAACTATGGACTGGGAGACACTGGCCCAGTTGAGGGCAGAGGAGTCAAGAATAAGGAAGTTAAGTCAATGCATGCATATTGGAAATAACCCCTCTTCCCACACACAGTTCTCAGAACACTGCCAGCCACATCTTCTTCCTCAGGACAGAAAGGGAAACAGCCACTGCTGGGAATCTGACCAGCACAAGAGGAAAGCCCTAACAATTCTGGCACTTAGGCTTGTGTGGGGCTGCCTCAACAAAATGGCTAAGCTAACACCTTCTTCTTCAGTGAGCCCCATGCCAATAAGATTGACTCCCACTGGGGGTTTTTAGTCCTCTTACTTGTAAATAGACAATCAGTGATTACCAGACATCTGAACAAAGCCACTAACACTGAGGGACAGAAAATCAAATGGGTTTAAAACAAAGGCGAATAACTTAAATGGGAACTAGGGCAGGAGAACAGAGGAAAATATATTAAAACAAGCAAACAAAGAAAAAAAAACCCACTTCATCTTAAAACAGAATGCTATTTGAAAAAGGCATTGCAAAGGGGAAAAAGTTCTTAGAAAATAAAAATGTATTATTAAAAATGAAAAACTAAGTGAAGGGTTAGAAAATAAAGTTGAAATCTCCCATACTACAGTAAAATGCCAAGAAACCAAAACTGGTGTAAAAAAAAAATAATAATAATAAGTAAATTACAAACGACCAGATAAGTAAATCTAACATCTAAAAGACAGAACAGAGAATTTACAGAAAAGGCTATCTTCAAGAAAATAATTCAAGAAAGCTTACTAGAACTAACTCACATGAGTTTTCCAGATTGAAAGAACCCACAAGTACTTAATACAATGGTTGAAAATTGACCCATATGAAAGCACACCCTCAATTTCAAAGGACAAAGAAATCATAAAAATAGATCACAGAATAAAGATAAGGAATCAAAATGGCTTCAGACTTCTCAAAAGCCAAACTAAAAAATGGAAGACAGTAATGCTGTGTCTTCAACGTTTTCATGAAAAGTTATTTCTCTCCCACAATTCTAATTCTAGCCAACAATCAATCTATTATGAGGGTAGATTAAAGAAATTTTCAAGTAATCTCAGCACTCTGGGAAGCTGAGGGAGGAGGACCACAAGTTCAAGCCTAGCAAGATCCTGTCTTAAAATAAAAATTTTAAAAGTAGCTCAGTACAAAGCTCTGAATTAAATCTTCAGTATGAGAGAGAGAGAGGGGAGGAGGAGGAGGAGAAGGGAAGGAGGTAAGGGAAGGGGAAAGAGAAAGAAAGGAAAGGAAAAGAAAGGAAGAAAAAGAGAAAGGGAGAAATTTTCAGACACAGGTTCTACAAATTTTATTTTCCATACACTCTTTCTTAGGAAG